ATGGGGTATGAAGCCGAGTCGCCCACCAGAAGACCTCCGTTAGCCTGCCTCTTCTGCCTCAACTGCTCCAGTCGAGCATGCTCCTTGTTGCGAACGGACCAGCGGCGATCACCATCCCTGTAACTCATAGCGCCGTGCTTTCGCAAAATGAAGAGTGTTGCGATTGACATCAACTGTGAATGGTCTTTATATAGCCCAGGAAAGGCGAATATCTAGGCGATAATCACGGAGGAGACTGACATAACTGAGCCGGATTGGACGGATGACGAGAATCTTTGTCAGAGATTAGTTCCATCAGATCCGCCCGGGAAGAGCAAGATTCGCACGCCAACATAGAGAAGATTGGATTTACCCGAGCTATGGGGAATCTTGCAGGTGTCAGACTGAAAAGAACCTGATGATGTGACCGACTCCTTGACCAGTCGTCCGGAGGGGTACGCAACAAAACACGGCAAAACATAAGGCAAGACGAAAATAGCGCTTTTTATTATTATTATGGAAAAGGAGGGTACAAGCAGCAAGGAGCTTATTACAAATAAGGAATATGAAAATGCTCCTAAAAAAGATTCCTCCGAGCTATGACCGACCCCGGTACATAAGGTCACTCGCCAGGCGAGGAAGAGTCGCCCCCAAAGAATCCCCCGATGGTCCAGGGGGAGAGGGGCAGAACGAGTCCCAGAAAGCTGGCATGAGCGGTGGCGCGATGGGTTCCTCATCATCCGGATACGCCTCCAGGTAGCGGGCGTAATCCTCGTCATCCATTAGGCCCGTGACCGGCCCGTTCAGGTCGTCCAGCGGGATGGAGAAAGTCATTTTGAAAGTCAATTGTTCAGGGACGGCCACCTCCACGAAGGATCCATCTTGAGAAGTCACCCTGGCGGTTGTTGGAGTCGGCGGACGAAGCAAAGGGGCACGACTTCTCGCTGAGGTGGGGTCGGCGGCTGAGAAGCTGAGGAGGTGGCACCAGCAGGAGATCTCCGAGGAGTCGGACGAGAAGCTTTTTTCTTGCTTTCCCTCTCAGGTCGAGTCCGCTTAGAAGGCAGCGGACGCCAAGGAGACCCGAAGTCAATTCGCTTCCCTTTTAAGGGAGAGCGACCCATGATGAACTTGTGAAGATAAGAGAGAAGGGAAGAGGCCATTTATAGGTACCAAGCCTAGACGGAAGAATCCCAACGGCTCCGCGAGATCCGGGGAGAATGGCTGACGATCCGGACGTTACAAGGGGTTATTCAGGGCACGGATACGGTAAGTAAAGGAGACGAGCGGTTGCTACTTTTCCAAACCCAGGTTGGAGGACCGGGTATGGAAAAGTGAGGGACTAGTTGATGGGGTAAGGACCCCGGCCCAAGAGATAGGGGCCCAAAGAAAATAGAAGTGGGCCAGCATCGAGAGGAGCCCAAAGAGCAATCGGGCCGAGTCCAGGAGTAGGCCGAGGCCCAAGCCCAGGAAAAGACCCGGCTCGAGGAGTCGTTGAGGGCATTAAAGGGGTTCCTTTAAAAGAGAGCCGTTGAAGCATTAAAGGCAGGACCCGGTCGGGCTGTTACAAGCCTAGGAGAGCCGTTGGTCGACCGAGTAATGGTGTCCAACGGCTCCATATCTTGATTAGCCTTGAAGTCGGCCATTAAGAGCCTTCAAGTCGGCAGAGGAGGAGCCACTATATAAAGGCTCCTCCATTCTTGTAAAAGGTAGACATTTTCGGACACCCGAGAGAGGGGGGAAATAACAAAGAAATTCCGAAGCACTAGCATTACCTCTGAGTTAGACGTACATTTTATTGAGAGGTGTATCCACCGACCAAAGGTTGTGTTGGACCTCCTTGGGCCCGAAAACCCTAAAACCATCAGTTACATTGTAGTATGAATCAATATCGTGGAGCTTCAACCTATGATCTCCCGTTTAAGAGAGTCACTCCATGCCACTTGATCATAAAGTCATTGACTATTGGTGGCTAATTTAATATGGTTACTGAATATAATGTATTACTCTGTATTATGTTTGTAATTAATTATTATGTTATTTAGTCTAACATTTTATAAAATTAGCATAAAATATTATTCAAAATACATTTTGAGGTGATATCATAATAAAATCATGAAAAATATGTCAATAGACCCTTAAAATTTTGGTGAAAAATAAATTAGATCTTTAAATTTTAAAAAATTTTCAATTTCACACTCGAACTCATTAAAATCGTACATCCAACTCTATTTTACTCCGTATCATTTTTTACTTGTTACCATTTGGTCACCTTTCACATCTACGACATATATGATTTATACAACATATTGAATATTATATATTATTTTTATAATATTTTATTTTAAGAATAAGTCCTGTACTCTTGTGTGAGGCCGTAATACATGCGATATGTAATATAGGTAAATTATTTTACTTTTCTTCTAAAAAAGTATTAGAGGTCTCACATGACATGATCCCACACAAGATCAACTCTAATTTGAAGAAGGTGGTGATATCACCTTCCTCAACCGACTCTATTTCTTTGTCTCTAGATTTGAAGTTGAAGGAGGAAGAAGAATACAGTCATGGCTGTCTTCACTTTTTTTTATTAAAATAATGATTTCCCTTCCAAATCTAGAGACAAAGAAGGGTCGAAGAATGACCTTCTTCCATCTCCAAGCCTTCTTTGTCTCCAAATTTCGAGACGAAGAAAGATGGAATAACAAGGTAGTCTTGGCAATTGGGCACGGCTGCTTTCAACATTTTTTTTTATAAATTTTTTAATATTGATTTTCAAATATTTTTCTAATATTGGTTATTTTATTTTGGTAAGGACATGTCAACTGCCACGTTAGAGTTTACCATATTAGGCTTGAATGCACTAAAATAACATGTCCATGTATTTAATTATAAATTTTTTAGTAGCATTCAAAAAAAATTATAAATTTTTAAAGTTTATTAGTTTAGTTTTTTTCACCATAAATTCGATGATCTATTTGACTCTTTTTTTAAAAAAAAGTCTATTCTCAATTCTAACCAATGATAACTAATAGACAATGATTATATTATAACTAGTCAAATATTGGGTACTGGGCAAGTAAATAAAAGCTAAACTAATTGCAAACCTTAAAAAAGAAAAAAGGAATAAGGGTGTAATAGTCATCGAACTACACACAAAACTACAATTGAACTTAAAATGACCTATTTATCTAATTATTTTTGAAATAAATGTCAAATAGGCCATCGAACTATACATGAAATGTCAATAAGGCCATCCAAGTAATTAAAAAAGTTACAATTGGATTCTTAAAATAGCACAACATCATGCAATTGAACCTAAAATTACCTTTTTCACTTGATATTTACTGATGTGATGGATACCTTATTAATAATTATTTTTAAATTAAATAAAATTAGAAAAAAGTAAAAATTCACAACCCCCTTCACGCTTCATGTCCAGTGGAAACGAAGAACCTGTTTTCGTCTCAAGCTAGGGATGAAGAAATGGTCTTAATCTCTAGCCTAGAGACGAAAGAAGGGGTGGGGGTTCGGTTTAATTTTTGGTATTTTTTTTAATTAGATTTTATTTAGAAATGTTAAAATAAATTTTAAAAATAATCTTTTAATAAGGTAATCGTCTCATTAGTAAAGACCGGATAAACATGTCATTTTAAGGTTGAATTCTAATTTTATATATAGTTTGATGACCTATTTGATCCTTATTTATTTTTTAAGATTTGAAATATATATATATATATATATATATATATATATATATATATATATATATATATATATAAGATGGTTTAAAGAAAGAAAATGTGTATGAAATGATATGTTTATCCTTCCATCTAACACTATTTTAATGCCTTTGCTAATCGAAGACCACATATATTCAGTTTTTGATACTCAAAAGACATTTACTATTGATTTTATATTCAAAAGAAGTTTAGTGGTAATATTCAAATACTCAAAGAACATTGGAGATATTAACCAAATACATTTTCTATTAAAATTTTGCCTACTAGTTGACTTGTATATAATTTTATATTAGATGGATGTGAAAATTTTAATAAAAAATAGTAATTTCCATAATTTAATAATTATTTTTTAATTTTGTTTAAAAATAATTTAATTACGGTGGACATGTTTGAAACCTGCAAATTGGAGGAAGAGAAATTGTATCAAATTTGTTAGTTTAGAAATTCAATTATAGATTTTTTAGGTTCAGTGATCTAATTATATTATGAGTTAATACCCAAAATCGTCCTCAACTATAGTGATTTTTCTCAATTTCGTTCTAAACGACTTTGGTGACCTAATATCGTCCCAGACTTTTGTGTTTCGCTCAATTTAGTCCTAGACTTTTGTGTTTTTGCTCAATTTAGTCCCTCATTTGTTATTCTGTCCATTTGGTGTTAAAAATAGACAATTCAGTAATTTTAATATTGACATCTCTTTACTCATAGACATGCGAACTGCGAAATCCTTTTTTTTTTTACGAATTACTCCTAAAACTGCGAATATAAAATTTAATTTGCAGGTCCGGGAGTAATTCTGGGTGTAATTCGTACAAGAAAGAGGAATTTCGTACTTCACAAGTTGAAAGTAAAGAGAGATCAATATTGACATTACTGAATTGTCTCTTTATTTAACACCAATTTGACGAAATAACAAATGGAGGACTAAATTGAGCGAAACACAAAAGTCTGGGACGATATTAGGTCACCAAAATCGTTTAGGACGAAATTGAGAAAAATCACTATAATCGAGGACGATTTTGGATATTAACTCAATTATATTATTGTTGATGTGTTATTTGACCCTTATTCAAATTTTATATCAATGAATGCTGCAAATTTTAATCAAAAATAGTAATTTCCATAATTTAACTAGAATAGTCCACAGGGTTCACTGTCAACGTCAGACCCATCTGGTTTCCTTCATCCTTTTCTTGCATTGAAAGCGATGATACACATGCACCTACTCAAGCTCACACTCTTTAAACACGCACTTCCCACACATACAAAATTACAAACTATACATACAACCCCTTCAAACTGCAAGCTTCAAACTAGTATATATACGTGTATGTATGTGCAAGCCACTCCCATCAAATCATAAATAAAATCATGCAGTGAGTTAGATATTTATTCGTTAATGCACAACTGTACAGCGCAGCTTATCCGAAATTCAAAGTTAGATCAGATTCGAACACAGTTTACAGCCTCTGACGAATCGCAACCGTCGTTTCTTTCCTCTTCCGTCCCTGTCCTTTTCTTCCAACGGCTACTAAAAACCCCTCAGCTTTCAATGCCCATCAACTGCTAATCAAATCCTTCTTCTTCTTCTTCTCCCAAGGAACAGCTAATCCTTCTTGCCCCTATTGCTCGTAGTGTTCTAAGCTTCAAGAAAAGCTAAAACCCAGGTTTTGCAGAGCTGAAACTCGCGGAAATTAAGAAAGTTTTGATTTTGCAGAGGAATTTTGTTAGGTTTTTAGGATGGATTTCAGTTCTTTCTTGACGTCGTTAGGGACGTCGTTCGTGATATTCGTGGTGCTGATGATGCTTTTCGTGTGGCTGTCGAGGAAGCCAGGGAACGCCGTCGTTTACTACCCCAACCGGATACTTAAAGGGTTGGATCCGGTTGAAAACGGGTACGTTTCCCGGAACCCGTTTTCGTGGATCCGGGAGGCAATCTCTTCCTCTGAAGCAGATATCATCACTATGTCTGGCGTTGATACGGCTGTCTACTTTGTCTTCCTCTCCACTGGTAACAATATTCATAATTCTCTTTTTGCTGTTTTTATTTTTCATTTTAAAAATAATATTTTGGAGTGGTTCTTGGTTGAAAGTTAGGTGTAATCCTCTGTTTGCAAACAGTTTTGTTAGCAGTAATTTTTTTTATTTTATTTTAATTTCATTTTTACAGTTAATATATTAAATATCTAGATAGTTTTCTCCCATTTTTGTGCTGAGAGATTGGAAAGCCTTGAGAGTCTTAGATGGGTATTTATGTATGTGAAACCAAATTGATGGAGGTTGAAGAGTGATTTAGATCTTCAATCTTAGATCCATTTTTCTGTTTGAGAAATTGCAAAATTAATGCTGAGAGCCTTTCTTTAAAGAAACTTCAAGATGTTGCAAAGTTTTTTCTAAAATGATTCTCTTTCAAGAAGGGCATTCTCTTTTTCCTTCTTTTGTGGTATTCTTGTAATGGCTGGGGCTCAAACTCGTGACCTGGCTCGGCTCGGCTAGAATGCCACTGGTAGGCTCAAATACTTATCACTACGCCAAAAGCTATAGCTCATTTTCAAGAGGCGGGTGCTGGACTTGACCATTCACTGGCCTCCGTCCAACAATCCCTTAGCCACCAATTGCTAGACTTAGCCTTTCACCGGCCTCTACTCAACAGAAAGAGTATCATTTTGCATTACTATCCATCTAGGAAGTAGGAACTAATTGGTTTTGTCAGACTCTAAATATTAATTGAAAAATATGGACTTCGCCTCCTTCTCTTGTGGGTGAATGATGGGTGCACCAAGCATGGCGAGCCTTGAAACGAATGTTCATAGCAACTGCTATTAGTGCTATGGATGGTTTTATCATTGTAGTGTCAGTTGCGTTTGAAGTACATTTGCATCACTGCAAAGCTCATTGCACCTGAAATGTTCACCAAGGGTCCTTTTAGCAGAAGTATAGAAGCAATGTCGTTTCCACTTATTGATAATTTAGATTTCTGGGGATCATTAGGAAGAATGTAGTATCTCTCCTGTGGCGCTTTTTAAAAACTTGTGTTATTATTGCAGCCTTGGGGATATTGGTCTTTTCTGGCCTTATACTGCTGCCAACACTTCTACCAGTTGCTGCAACTGATCATAGTGTGAGGTTAAACAGTACCACAAGCAACGGGACTTTCAACGAACTTGATAGGCTTTCTATGGGGCATATTGGAGTAAGTTTCTTAGTCATTTTATTGGCATATTTGCATCTCTATTCTCAGTTACATTTCTCACTATGTTACTGGATTTGAAGCTAAACCTGAATGTGACTGATTAAATGTTTGAATTTGCTAATTTTCGATTCTCATGTTTACAGAACAATAGTCCGCGATTATGGGCGTTTCTTATTGCCACATATTGGGTTTCTGTGGTTACGTACTTCTTTCTTTGGAAAGCATACAAGCGGGTTTCTGGTTTGAGAGTTGATGCTCTAATGTCTTCCGAGGCCCGAGCTGAGCAATATGCGATTCTTGTCAGAGACATTCCTCCTGTCCCCGAGGGTCAATCTAGGAAGGAACAGGTCGACTCCTACTTTAGTAAAATCTACCCGGAGACGTTTTACAGATCAATGCTGGTGACAGACAATAAGAAGGTTAGTATTTTGAAGTTTCCTAGAATAATACCTGGCTGCAACATTATGAATTGTTTTAATGATTCTGTAGCCTTTACCTTTCTTTATTTTGTCAGGTTAATAAAATCTATGAAGAGTTAGTAGGGTACAAAAAGAAGCTTGAACGAACAGAAGCCATATATGCAAAGTCGAAAGAAACAAAACCTGATGGACCAAAACCCACACATAAAACCGGCTTCCTTGGTATTGTGGGTGAAAAGGTGGATTCGATAGAGTTCTATAACGAGAAAATTAATGACTTGACTTCGAAATTGGAAGCTGAACAGAAGGTGACTCTTAAGGAGAAACAGCAATGTTGTGCTATCGTCTTTTTCAACAGCAGGGTGACTGCAGCATCTGCGTCGCAGAGTTTACACTCCCCGATGGTTGACAGATGGACGGTCACTGATGCTCCTGAACCGCGCCAATTGATTTGGACTAACCTTGCTAAGGGGTTTTACCAGAGGATAGTTCGTCAATATGTTATCTACTTCATTGTCTTCTTGACAATATTCTTTTACATGATCCCAATTGGCTTGATTTCGGCTCTAACAACCCTTGAGAATTTGAGGAAGTACCTCCCGTTCTTGAAGGTCATTGTTGATCAAACCGTAATCAAGACGGTGCTTGAAGCATACTTGCCTCAACTCGCTCTCATTGTATTCCTCGCTTTGCTGCCAAAGTTTCTTCTGTTCTTATCCAAGGCCGAGGGCATTCCTTCAGAAAGCCACGCAGTGAGGGCTGCTTCCGGGAAGTATTTTTATTTTACAGTGCTGAATGTTTTCATTGGCGTCACGATTGGTTCCACGCTTTTCGATACATTGAAGTCAATTGAGGATAACCCCAACAGTATAATTTCTTTGCTGGCAACAAGTCTCCCCAGCAGTGCAACCTTCTTCCTGACTTTTGTGGCTCTAAAGTAATACTCAACTACTCCTTTCTTTCCTTTGATATTTGCCAGTTTCCTGTGGTTTTTGATTTCTTATATATACTCTTTTTGGCTTACAGGTTCTTTGTTGGCTATGGTCTCGAGCTGTCGAGAATAGTTCCTCTAATAATCTTCCATCTAAAGAAGAAGTACATGTGCAAAACTGATGCCGAGATAAAGGAAGCCTGGGCTCCTGGAGATCTAGGATATGCAACTCGATTTCCTGGTGACATGCTGGTTCTCATCATTTGTCTTTGTTACTCAGTCATTGCTCCAATCATTATTCCATTTGGGGCGGTTTACTTCGGCTTGGGATGGCTTCTTCTTCGCAATCAGGTAACTCTTTGATCATCCTGTTAGGGATCAAACACTTATCACTATGCAAAAAACTATAGCAAGTAGCAAAAGGCAATGCAACTCTATTTCCTTATACCATCACATTTTTTAAAGATAGGGTGTTGGATTTGGACCTTCAAGCCTTCGCCCATGAATCTAGCAACCTGGTATTGGACTTGGTCCTGTACAGGCCTCCGCCCAACACATCCTACTCTGCCTTGTTACACATGGAATTTATAAATTGCTAGGGTCAAGCGCTTACCACTATGTCAAAAGCTATAGGTACTAGATACAACTTTATTTCCTTATTGATGACCATCACATTTTCGAGAGGGTAGGGTGTTGGACTTGGCCCTGTGACCTGGCCCTGGCACCACTTTGTTAGGATAAAGGGCTTACCACTACACCAAAAGTTATAACTAGTAGCAAATTAAAGGTGCAACTTTATTTCTTTATAGGCCTTCATCACCTTTTCGAAAGCCGGGTGCTGGACTTCCCGTTATTGGCTTTGATACCATTTTTGTTAGAATTAAGCGTTTACCACTACCCCAAAAGATATAGCTAATAACAAAGGCTTAACTTTAATTTTTTATAGACTGCTATCACATTTTCGAGGGGAGCCTTTCACCGGCCTCTGCACAACAATCACCTAGAAATAGAAACCAACCATTTTTTACACTGAAACACGAGATAAAAACGAAACCATCTTAATGTTGTGGGCAGGCACTGAAAGTGTACGTTCCATCGTTCGAGAGCTACGGGAAGATGTGGCCGCATATGCACACTCGGGTGGTGGCTGCCTTGATTCTGTATCAGCTGACGATGATCGGTTATTTTGGGGTGAAGAAGTTTCCCTATGCCCCACTCGTCATCCCGCTTCCAATACTGTCCTTCCTCTTCGCCTTTGTGTGCAGTAAGAAATTCTACCGATTCTTCCAAAGCACAGCCCTGGAAGCAGTTTCTGCAGGCAAAGAAAAAAAAGAAGTTCCCAACATGGATATCATCTTCAGGTCCTTCATCCCCCCATGCTTTGGTACTGAGAAGTCCGACGAAGATCACTTCGAAGATGCTTTGTCCCAAGTTTCGAGATCAGCTTCCAATGTCTGATTACATCAATTTGTTTCTGTATGTTTCCATGGTGTGTGTTCACATTATGTTCCTCAAAAACTGTTGGTTGGTCTATTCATGGTTTCTTGTGAATACATTAGTTGATAGTGCAGGGGGTTTGTCAATATCAATATATCATCGTGGATCAGCATATAATATATTCTGTACGTGTGGATTTTCTTCTTGTTTAGTTAGAATATAATTCGATTTGATGTATTATAACCTTTTATTTTATTAGTGTTACATTGTTTTCAAGGTTAGTGTTACATTGTTTTCAAGGTTATGCTGAGATGAATGGTCTCTGATCTTGTTGACTTGATACGTGAATATTGAAATAGGACAAAAACAATAGGAATGTTAAGTGGATAAACAAAATTTTATAAAGGAATATAATAAGGGTCAAATAAATTATGCAAATTATAAATTAAACTGTAACTGGACTATTAAACTAAAAAGAACTGTTATTTGGTCTTTAGAATAATTTTGGATACTGTAAAATTATGCGATTGAACCTAAATGACATGTTTAAACAATGCAAAATTATGTAATTTAATTTTAAAATGATATGTTTATTTGGTATTTGTTGACGTGGTTGTTATTAGATTAAAAATATTTTAATAAAATTTTAAAAAATATCCACTGCACCCCAAATCTACCCATCCCAAGAGGGATGAAGACAATTTCTTCGTTTGAGACGAGGTGCGGGATTTTGAGGACGGATTTTTGTTTGTTTGTTTGTTTGTTTTTTTTTTTTTTGTTTTTTGTTTTTTTTTTTAAATAAAAATTATTTTATTTAAAATTAGGAAAAATGGTTAAATAGGCATTCAACTTTGTACCTGATGGGGGACATGGATCTTGGGGGTCCATTTTATTGAAAAAATCTTGGGTCAACCGTTCAAGCGGGGTCCATTTTTATAGGTGAAGTGTTGTCCAAGAAGAATAATGAAAATCTATTGGGTTAAAGGAAGAAAGAAGCTTGAATCAAAATCTATATAATATAAAAGTAAAATCTTCCAAACAAATTTTCCCCCCAAAACTTTTGTAGTAAAGTTTATTTGGTAAGTAAATGTCAAATGGAAATTAAATAAATCTATTAATTGTTATATTACATAATTGGTAATATTATGTATGGTATTATATTCTATAATATAATTGAAAATATTATTGTTCAAATATAATAAAAATCTTATGAAATAATGTAAGCATAATAAAATAAATAATAATAATAATATAAAAACCATACAAATTTTCCCCCAAAACTTAGCGGCATTTATATAATATCCTAATTTTCTAATTTAATTAATTATCAAAATATTGAAATTATATATTATATATTATTCATTTATGTGTAGACATACTTATTACTGTATATAAAGTAAATTAGGTAAATATATTCTTCAAATATAAATTAAGTATATATATATAATTTTTTGGTAAGCAAATGTAAAATTGTAACTCTAATTTTAATTGGTAATTGGTAATTGGTAATATAATAAAAACCATAAATGTTACCCTTAATCATATCTAAACACCTATATATACATCACATTCTCTTCAATACAAACAGTACCAAGTTACGAAGAACCTAAGAGAATATTCTCTGCAACTTCATAGCAATGGTGTAGAGAACAGGGACCTTCAAGAAGAGGAGGAACAAGACCCATATTCTCTGCGTATCCAGAAGAGCTGTTGCACTACACCTACACATTTGGTAAATCTCTGTATCCTTTTTCAACTCTTTTTTTTTTTTTTTTAATAAAGAATAGAAAATCATATATACCATTGGTGAAATTTAAAATCTATCTACATATATTATATAAACTATGATTATATTGATCATATATATCATCTGATCTTCTTCATCATTAATCTGGACGAGTTTCCTCAACCCATTAAAAGGTATTTCTCTAATACCTTATCTCAATCCATTAAAAGTTGTTTATTATTGGACTCTGGGCAAGATTAAGTAATGCACTATTCATAGTGATAGAAAAAAAAATTGACCATCTGATTATTGGTGGACTCTGAGCAACTAGATCTGCAGGTCATTTGCATGAGAGGGGACATCATTGAATGAGTTTGGACTATTAATATTTTTTTTCCTGATGTGACGGTCCTTCCAGCACCAATAGGAGTAACACAAGGATTTGGAGCCATGGCAATGTGTTGAGGATCGTGAGTAGTGCTCCTTGACAAAAGCCTAAAGCAACAGCATATGAATATGATAGAGATTTAATTATTTTAATTTTTTTTGATAAAGATTATTCTCTAACCAAACAATTAGTAATATTTACGATTTATTGAACCAACCTTCATATTTTTGGTCAAATGAGTACACATGATGGAATATATGTTCATTGCACGGAATCTTAATATTCATTGAGTTTCCAAATAGTATATTGCATAAGAATTATTTTACCATAATATGAATTGTAACCAATTTAATAAATCTAAATATTAACAAGTATGTATGGTAATTTTATGTATGTTAATATTATTTCATATGGACGTAATACTATAATATGATTTATAACCAATTTAAGAAATCTATATTGATAACCAATTCAAGTATGTATGGTAATTGTATGCATGGTATTAAAAATAATAATTACGTATGGTATTATATATAGTAATATTAGGTATGATATTATGTAATACGTAGTATTAATTAGGTTGTACATTTATTCTTTTCATATTCTCATATGGACGTAAATCCATAATATGGTATATAACCAATAACCAATATGGTATATATATATATATATATATATATATATATATATATATATATATATATATATATATATATATATATAATTTTTCACTCCTTTTATAAAATAATAATTCAATAAAAGTTTTATATAAGTAAATAATCTGTAATATTTATCTTAAGTATAATTTGTCAAATTAATCAATTTTAATTTGATAATGATTATTTTCTAACCAAACAATTGGTAATATTTATGATTTATTGAACCAATTCATATATGTTTTTTATCATCCAGACTAATTTTAATGGTCAAATTAATAATAAATTTTATTAGTTATTAATTAGCATAATATTAATTTATTATGCATAATTACTGTATAAAAATAAATTACCGTTCAAATGAGTACACAATATGATATACATGTTCATTGCACGAAATCTTAATATTAATTGAGTTGTCAAATCGTATATTGCATAAGAATTATTCTTACCTTACTATATACAATTACAAATTTATTCCGAAATTCTGAAAATTAAATAAGTTAGAAATCTAATTTTAAGTATGTGTTTCCTGTTTTTTCATTTTTAATTTATTAATTTATATACACAATTTTTTGCTACTTTTAATATAATAATTCACTACATTTTTTTCAGTAAGTAATTCCTCTAAGCAAATAATCCGTAATATCCCCTGATATACTTTACACAATTTAATCATTTTTTATTTTTATAATTTCTAATCTATTAAATAAATAATATATATATATATATATATATATATATATATATATATATATATATATATATATATATATATATATATATATATAATTAGATAAAGCTTATTTTTTGACCAAACAATTGGTAATATTTACGATTTATTGAACCAATTCGTAAATGAGTCAATCTATACTATAATTAAAAACAAAATCCTATTTACTTGATTTTTCACCCAAACAATAGTAAATAGTAAAGGTAAATTTTAAAAAAAAAAAGAATGGAAAAAAAGAACATAAATATTTCACAATAATATTCTACATCATCCGTTAAAAATGGAATGGAAATTAGTTAAACTGAAAAAATAACTGAATATTAATAATTGACTGAAAATTAAAAATGGAAAAAGGAACATAAATTAGGTTAATTGAAAAAAGGAAATAAATATTTATAATTGACTAAAAATAAAAAATGATCCATAATTGACTAAAATGAAAAAGGGAAATGGTCAAATTATTACATTTTAATTTTTTACAATAATATTACACAATATAGTACATCAAACCATAATTATGTCATAAATCTTTCACAATTTTAAAAATGGAACAGAAATATTTCAATAATAATATTTTACATCATCAAGTAAACGTAAATTAAAAATGAAAAGGAAATATTTAAATAACAATATTCTACATCATCAATAATAAAGCCATATTCTAATCAATAATAAAGTTAAATTAAAAATGCAATGAAAATTAAAAATGAAACAGAAATATTTTAATAATAATATTCTACATCATCAATTAAAAATGGAACGAAAATTGAGTAAAATATCACTACATCTGATATTCTAATTGACCAATTGACTGAAAATAAAAAAGAATAATTGGCTGAAAATGAATATGATATTACTAATTAACTAAAAATATAAAATGAAATGAATATTAATAGTTGACTGCAAATAAAAAATGATCTATAATTAACTAATATGAAAAAAATAAATGGTTAGATCATTGCATTTTAATTAAAAATTGATGCAAACTAAAATTTGACGGAAATATTTCAACAATAATATTCTACATCATAGATAATAAAGACATATTTTAAACAATAATAAAGTTAAATTAAAAATGCAACGGAAATATTTCAATAATAATATTATACATAATCAATTAACACTCGAACAAAAATTAGGTAAAAATATCATTGCATATGATATTCTAATTGACTAATTGATTAAAAATAAAAAAGAATAATTGGCTGAAAATGAATATGATATTACAAACTTACTTAAAATATAAAAAAAATCCCTAATTGACTAATATTCTACAATTATATATTTTCACTCGAGTCACCCATCATGTTGGACTAAAGGTGTTAGCTATAGACGATGATGGACAAGATTGTGTTGCTACTACCAATGTCGAAAGATGTTTCAATAATGTGTACATACAATCGTTGATATTTTTTTAAATGACAAATTTGCTATATATCTAGACAAAAAAATATATATCTTCCATACAAATGAATTAAGATAGTAATTCATTCCTATAACTGAGTTGCTTGAGAATGAGCACATTTGACTAATTTATAAAAAAAAAAATTACTAAACAATGATAAATAAAATCTCCAAAATTACAGCACCGTATGCGTACATCTACACATTAGCTATTAATTTGAGCAATTATTTGCTCAAATTTAAGCAATGATAACATCAAAACACATAGATAATCCAAACCATATGTTCAATTGCACTATATAATATTTGATGTTCTAATTTAAATAATTATATATTGATCCAAATATT